TTTTATTATGTCTATTTTTATTTTGAAATTGACCAGTAGCTGCTGCATTTCCCACCCTCGGCTTATAGTCGAGTCAATACATTTTCCCAGTTTTTTTGTGGTAAGATTAGGTTCCTTGGCTTATATTTGGGTCCATATATGGTATATGTTTAATGACATTCACAAACAATTTTGTATTACTATAAGAGCTGATACTTGTCTTTGCAGGACTGGAAGTCTTCCCCTTTGAAGCAAGGACTCCAGCATCTGGGCAGACCCATGCTTAAAGTATCCTTATGCACAAAGGAGGCCACTGGCACTCCCCTGCAGAGAAGCCTCAATTTGCAACGTGGAGGTCTTGGAGGTCACCCTATTTCCCTAGGAAACAACAGAGCTCCCCACAGCCTGGGTTGACCCACCTGCCCAGACTCCAGCTTGCCTTCCTTCCTTCCATCCACCCATCCTTCTTCTCCCAGACTCCACAGCACTGTCACCAACACACATGCCTCACAAGGATCCCCTTTCACACTACCAGGCTGCTTTGACACCCTGAGCAGTGCCTGGTCCCTTCGCTGGCCTTCTGGGTAAACCAAGGCAGGCACCCAAGACCACCAGGAGACCCTTGTCTTGCCACAACTTCAACCGTGTGGACGTTTCCCCCTTTCCCTGATGCTAGGTTCACACAAGAGCAGCGTTAAGGCAAGACACAAAAGCTCCCACAACCTCTTTCTTGGGTTGCTCCTAAGCCAGGCATGGACAAACTTGGGCCCTCCAGGTGTTTTGGACTTCAATTCCCACAATCCCTAACAGCCTTCATTAGCATTAAATGGGCTTGCAAATTTCAAAGTGTTGCTTCTTACTGCCTGGGGGAATCCTTTATTGAGAGGTGATTAGCTGTCCCTAATTGTTCCTTGTCTGGAGTTCCCCTGTTTTTGATTAACATTAAATGCACCTTGATCAGCATTAAATGGCATTGCAGTTTTTCAAGGTGTTGCTTCTTACTGCCTGGGGGAATCCTTTGTGGAGAGGTGATTAGCTGTCCCTAATTGTTTCTTATCTGGAGTTCCCCTGTTTTTGATTAACATTAAATGCACCTTGATCAGCATTAAATGGCCATGCAGTTTTCAAGGTGTTGCTTCTTACTGCCTGGGGGAATCCTTTGTTGAGAGGTGGTTAGCTGTCCTTGATTGTTTCTTGTCTGGGGTTCCCCTGTTTTTGATTAACATTAAATGCACCTTGATCAGCATTAAATGACCTTACAGTTTTCAAGGTATTGTTTCATACTGCCTGGGGGAATCCTTTGTTGAGAGGTGATTAGCGGTCCCTAATTGTTCCTTGTCTGGAGTTCCCCTGTTTTTGATTAGCATTAAATGCACCTTGATCAACATTAAATGGCCTTGCAGTTTTCAAGGTGTTGCTTCATACTGCCTGGGGGAATCCTTTGTTGAGAGGGGATTAGCTGTCCCTGATTGTTTCTTGTCTGGAGTTCCCCTGTTTTGATTAGCATTAAATGCACCTTGATCAGCATTAAATGGCAAAGCAATTTTCAAGGTGTGGCTTGTTACTGCCTGGGGAATCCTTTGTTGATAGGTGGTTAGCTGTCCCTGATTGTTTCTTGTCTGGAATTCCCCTGTTTTTGATTAGCATTAAATGGCCTTGTGGTTTTCAAGGTGTGGCTTCTTACAGCCTGAGGGAATCCTTTGTTGAGAGGTGATTAGCTGTCCCAGATTGCTTCTGGGATATAAGTCTGCATGGAAGGGCCCTAGACTGCCCTATAATAGAGTTTCCGTATACAGTTGAACTATATTGAGCTGCATTTTATGAGTCTGGACTGCCATATAATAGAGTTTCCGTATACAGTTGAACTCTGTATATTGAACTGCATTATATGAGTTGAACTGTATTATATTGAACTGCATTATATGAGTCTGGACTGGCCTATAATACAGTTTCCATATATAGTTGCATTGAATTGCATTGTATGAGCCTGGACAGCCATATAATAGAGTTTCCATATACAGTTGAATTCTGTATATTGAACTGCATTATATGAATTGAACTGCCCTATAATGCAGTTTCCATATGCAGTTGAACTGCATTATATGAGTCAGGATTGCCATATAATAGAGTTTCCATATACAGTTGAATTGCATTATATGAGTCTGGACTGCCATATAATAGTTTCCATATAGAGTTGAACTCTGTATGTTGAACTGCATTATATGAGTCTGAGCTGCCCTATAATGCAGTTTCCATATACAGTTGCATTGAACTGCATTATATGAGTCTGGACTGCCATATAATAGAGTTTCCATATACAGTTGAACTCTTTATATTGAACTGCATTATATTGAACCCTGTTTTTGAATGCTATTCTTTATTTACTGCTATGATTTTAGAGTTTTTTAGTACTGGTAGCCAGATTTTGCTCATTTTTATGGTTTTTTCCATCTCTCCTGACGTTTTGCAGGCTGTTAGGGATTGTGGGAGTTGAAGTCCAAAACACCTGGAGGGCCGAAGTTTGCCCATGCCTGTCCTAAGCAGACACCTCCTCGCCTACAGCAACCACAAAAGGGAAAGCAAGAAGCGTAGCTTATTAAAGGCATTTGGGTTTTTTTTGTTTTGTTATATAGAGATATAGATATACATTTTACGTCCACATTCCTCTCCCGTTCCCTGAAAAGACCTCAACGTGATTCCCCGTCATGGCTACGTCAATATTTTGGAAAAAAGGTTCCCCTTCCCCTCCCCTTCCCCTCCCCAAGTAACACTTAATAGAGGTACAAGGCCTCCATCGCAGAAGCCCATTGGGGCTCCCACCTGGGCAATGGCCGGCCTGCAGCTGGCTTTGTGTTTACGTCATCGCTTCCTGCAAAATGCGACATGTAAAAGACAGTGCAAGGTTCCATCCCCGCTCCCCACTCCCCAAGTAAAAAAATTATTCTTGTTCCAATACAAGACACATTCCAGTTCTGAACAGATACGAAGTCTTCCTCAATTGCATGACCAGGCCCCTTAGAAAAAGGAATTTATTATATACAGGGTTGCTGTGAGTTTCCCGGGCTGCCTGGCCATGTTCCAGAAGCATTCTCTCCTGAGGTTGTTGTAAGATTTTTCTGGGCTGTCTTGCCATGTTCGAGAAGCATTCTCTCCTGACATTTCGCCCACATCTATGGCAGGCATCCTCAGAGGTTGGGAACTAGGCAAGTGGTGTTTATTAGGGCTGGGCGATTTCGTTCGTTAATTTCGTAATTCGTTATTAATTCGTTATTTTTTTTAATATAACGAAGCGATATTGAACCATTCAGGAGCAGCTAAAAAACGAAACGAATTTTTTCAATTCGTTGCGTAATTGTTCCGAAATCGATTTGTAATTGATTTGAAATCGTTTCGTTATTATTTCCGCATGTCTGGTGCAAGTTTTAGGTTTGCTGTTTGTTTTCTCAGTGAAAAAAAAAATTATCACACCAACAGTCAGCAACAGAGGGAGAGGGAAGCGTCCTGTCCCATTTGGAGGTTGTTTTAGCGTACTGCGCGATCGCGCCCGCCATTAACAAATCGATTCGTAATTGTTTCGAAATCGATTCGTAATTGATTCATAATTTACGAAATTTCGTAAATAACGAAAAAAATTTAAGGAAAATTTCGGAATTCTTTTAAAAATCAAAACGCAAAAACCCCCTAAAAACGAATCGAGTTTAGAAACAAATTTTTCCGTGGTTGCCCAGCCCTAGTGTTTATATATCTGTGGAATAATGTCCAGAGTGGGAGAAAGAACTCTTGTCGATTAGAGGCAAGTGTGAATGTTGCAAAATGCCCAGGTTCATTAGCACTGAGTGGCCTTGTAGCTTCAAAGCCTGGCTGATTGATGCCTGGGGGTCCTTTTGTTAGGAGGTGTTAGCAGGAGGAGCCCCTGGGGGCACAGTTTCGAATCCAGGGAGAGGCGGATGAGCTCCCTCTATCAGCTCCAGCTCCTCATGCGGGGACATGAGAGATGCCTCCCACAAGGATAAAAAAAATTAAATCATCCAGGCATCCCCTGGGCAAAGTCCTTGCAGACGGCCAATTCTCTCACACCAGAAGCGACTTGCAGTTTCTCAAGTTGCTCCTGACACGACAAAAAACAAAAACAGGAGGCGATTGTTTCATGTCTGGAAGTGCCTTGTTTTTTTAGTGTTGCTCTTTATTTACAGTCCTGATTTTAAAGAGGAACACTAACAAAATAGGGGAAATCCTGATATGAAACAATCAGGGCCAGCTAACACTTCCCAATAAAGGATTCCCTCCAAGCAGGAAGCAGCCAGGCTTTGCTATTGAATGCTAATCAAGGTGGTATCCTCTGGGGCTGTGAGGTCTGTTGGAAACTATATCTCTGGAATGTTCTGGGTGGGAGAAAGAACTCTTGTCTGCTTTAGGCAAGTGTGATTGTTGCAATTGGCCACCTTGATTAGCATTGAATGGCCTGTCTGGCTGCTTACTGCCTGGGAGAATCCTTTGTTGGGAGGTTTGTTTGTTTGTTTTGTCGTGTCAGCAGCGACCTGAGAAACTGCAAGTCGCTTCTGGTGTGAAAGAATTGGCCATCTGCAAGGACGTTGCCCAGGAGACGTCCGGATGATTTTTGATATTTTTATCATCCTTGTGGGAGGCTTCTCTCATGTCCCCGCATGAGGAGCTGGAGCTGATAGAGGGAGCTCATCCGCCTCTCCCCGGATTCGAACCTGCGACCTGTCAGTCTTGAGGTGTTTCCTGAACATTCCACAGATATATAAATCCCACAAACACCTGATACGCCCAAGTTGCTGGGATTTATAGTTCACCTACAATCAAAGAGTATTCTCAACTCCACCAATGATGGAATTGAACCAAACTTGGCACACAGAACTTTTTAGACTTTTATCAGTATTTAAAAAGTCTAAAATTAGGACAGTAAATAAAAAGGAACACTCATACAACAGGGGAATTTCTGACATGAAACAGTCAGGGCCAGCTAACACCTCCCAACAAAGGATTCCCCCGAATCAGCTGGGCTTCGAAGGTGCAAGGCTATTCAATGCTAATCAAGGTGGCCAATTGCAACATTCATACTTGCCACCAACAGACAAGAGTTCTTTCTCCCACCCTGGACATTATTCCAGGTCTATAAACCCCACTTGCCTAGTTTCCAACAGACCTCTCAACCTCTGCGGATACCTGCCATAGATGTGGGTGAAACGTCAGGAGGGAATGCTTCTGGAACACACCCATACAGCCCAGAAAACTCACAGTAACCCAGTGATTCCAGCCACGAAAGCCTTCCAACAACACAATTTATATACATTCAGGCAGATTCTTGCGTCTATAAAATGCTATAGGAAAAAAAATGGGGATAGGGTGGAAGTGTGGGGGTGTTTTGGACTTTTGTAACTTCCCGCCCCAGTACCCCCAAAACATGGCGGACTGCATTTTACCTGCAATTAACATGCGCACACGCATACACACACACGCACAAAGCAAACCCCTTCCCATAAAAAAAAAAAAAAAAGCCTAGAATTCAGCAAACCATTCCAGCCCTCATTGTTGTCGTCACCATCCGGGCCCCAGCCCAGGCCAACCTTGTGACGGGACAAAGGAAGAGCCCTACTGCTGTGGAACCCCACAAGTCTAAGTATCCATGGCAGCCTTGGGGGCCAGGAGGATATGAGGGGTGTCCAGGCGGCTGCCCCAGATGGGGTGCCTGCCGGGACCCTCCTCGGAGACCTCTGCCTGCCGGTCACCATTCCAGCGGCGCTTCAGGCGCAGCTTGGGGGGCATCAGGGCATCCTCCCTCTTTTCCGGGGCTGGTGCCTCTCCCACGGATTCCGGGGGGCCTGCTCTGTCACCCACCCCTTCCTCTTGCTTCGGCTTTTCAACAGCCGGGGTGATGGCCTGACTAGGGGATGGCGACACTGCAACCCACGTCGGGGTCACCGGCCTGGCAAAGAGAGCCTCTTTCTCCCGTTCCTGATAATTGGGGGTCTTAGCTGCATTGTCGCTTTCCTCCCGCCCCACTTGGTCTCTCTTTGGGGACTCTCTGCTCTCCAGCTCCGGGTCAGAGACAGGCTCCGTCTTAATCTGCGGGGGCGATGCCGGAGGAGGCTGAGAAGCCCTGGGCCCGCTCTCCGGCCTCTCCCGGTTCTTGCGCCCGACCGGCGGAGGCTGCAGCTTGATGGGAAATGGGGCCTGATCCTCCGGAGGTGCCGGGGGGCACGGGAAGGGGGGCATAAACAAGCCCGGGTAGCGAGGGAAGGTCCTGGGGCTCAGGTGGTAGTTGAACACCGAGCAAGCCTGGGAGTGGAGGTAGTGCTTCATCTCCTCGGGGTTGAAGGAGAAGCAGCTGCCCCCAGCGGGCGCAAAGGGGCTCATGCCGGGGGAGGGGCTGTAGGAGAAGAAGGTGGGCGTCAGGGACAAGGCGGGCGAGATCGGGACGTTCAGGATCCCTCCGCGCGACGGGAGCGGGGAGACGGCGAACGGGCTGTGCGGGTCAGGGTACATCCCCGACCGGCCAAAGAGAGGAAGCACCAAGTCCGGCTTACGCTTCTGGGGGGCAACACCGCCCAAGGCGGCAGCGGCAGCAGCAGAGGAGGAGTTGCGAGAGGCCAGCGGGTCCACGCCGTGACGCCAGTCCGGGGAGCCGCTATCCAATTCGGGCACCGGGGATGACTTCTCGCCGAGGGCGCCGTTATTGAGACCTTCTGTGCCAGGCGGGGGCACCAGGAGCCTGCCGGGGAAACGGCCATGGTGAGAATCTTCGGTGGGAGAGTGGCTGTCCAGAGGAGGGAAGTGGAAGCGGGAAGACGCCGTGGGGACAGGAGGAGCGCTCTGCGGGACGACCCCTGGGAACGAGGAAGAAGAAAAAGAACAACAAATCAATGTACAGTGTTCCCTCATTTATCGCGGGTGTTACGTTCCAAGACCACCAGCAAAAAGTGTGCATTCCCTGAATAAAGGACACAATCCCCTGCAAAATATCCTGAATCATAGAATCATAGAATTGGAAGAGACCTCATGGGCCATCCAGTCCAACCCCTGCCAAGAAGCAGGAATATTGCATTCAAATCACCCCTGACAGATGGCCATCCAGCCTCTGTTTAAAAGCTTCCAAAGAAGGAGCCTCCACCACACTCCGGGGCAGAGAGTTCCACTGCTCAACGGCTCTCACAGTCAGGAAGTTCTTCCTCATGTTCAGATGGAATCTCCTCTCTTGTAGTTTGAAGCCATTGTTCCGCTCCTAGTCTCCAGGGAAGCAGAAAACAAGCTTGCTCCCTCCTCCCTGTGGCTTCCTCTCACATATTTATACCTGGCTATCATGTCTCCTCTCAGCCTTCTCTTCTTCAGGCTAAACATGCCCAGCTCATTAAGCCGCTCCTCATAGGGCTTGTTCTCCAGACCCTTGATCATTTTAGTCGCCCTCCTCTGGACACATTCCAGCTTGTCAATATCTCTTCTGAATTATGGTGCCCAGAACTGGACACAATATTATTGATGTGTTGTTGGGCTTGGCCTCATGTAAGCTGCTCTGAGTCCCTTGCGGTGATGGGGTATATATAAAGCTTTATTATTATTATTATTATTATTATTATTATTATTATTATTATTTAAATCCACAAAGTAGGGACACTATATATATACGGTCCAGGCACAGCTTACTTGTCCGAATGCATCTCCCTCTATGTCCTGCCTCGCAGTTTAAGATCATCTGGGGAGGCCCTGCTCTCGCTCCCACTAGCTTCGCAAATGCATTTAGCAGAGATGAGAGACAGGGCTTTCTCGGCTGTGGCCCCCCATCTGTGGAACTCGCTTCCCAGTGAGATAAGATTGGCTTCATCCCTCCTGTCTTTTAGGGGAAAAAATGAAATCATGGTTCTGGGACCAGGCTTTTGGACAGCAGGCATAACAGAATCTATATCTATATAAATAAAAATGTAATGTTCGTTTGTGGGATTAACAGAACTCAAAAACCACTGGACGAATTGACACCAAATTTGGACACAAGACACCTAACAACCCAATGTATGTCCTTCACTCAAAAAAATTGATTTTGTAATTTGGGAGTTGTAGTTGCTGGGATTTATAGTTCACCTACAATCAAAGAGATTCTGAACCCCACCAACAATGGAATGGAACCAAACTTGGCACACAGTTCTCCCATGACTAACAGAAAATACTGGAAGGGTTTGGTGGGCAGTGACCTTTGGTTTGGGAGTTGTAGTTCACCTATATCCAGAGATCACTGTGGACCCAAACAATGATGGATCTGGACCAAATTCTACACAAATACTCAATATGCCCAAATGTGGACACTGGTTTGGGGAAAATAGAATCTTGACACGTGGGAGTTGTAGTTACTGGGATTTATAGTTCACCTACAATCACAGAGTATTCTGAACTCCACCAATGATAGAATTGGGCCAAACCTCCCCACAGAACCCCGATGTGGGCCACAGCAATGTGTGGCAGGGGGCGGCTAGTGGTAAATAAACAAACAAGCACACACAAAACAAACGAACAAGTATCAGGAGATTCTCAGATACATGACAAAGCACTATGGAGCCATTTTCTGTATGAGGCTGTGTGTGAAAGGTCCACTGGCTTCCCACCCGCATTGCGTGCCACAAAGGGCAAGCGGCACATGGCACCTCAAGAGGAAATGCCACTCCGGCTCCTTCCACCTCCACCTTTGAAAAACCGGTTTGTTTCTGGCTCTCTCGTCCATGCCAGCCTGACTATTGTTTGGATACGTCAAGTCTCCCTCGCCCTCCCCAGGTGAGAGGAAAGAGAAGGTGCCTTAGAGCTGCCTCTCAGGACTCTGCAGTTTCCACCAGCACCTCCGTTCAAAGGCAGCCTCTGGGAAGGCAGGGTGTGTCCGAGAGGAAGAAAGCCACCTGGGTGAGCAACGGCAGGCAGGCATTGCCCAGACTTGTTCCTCCGAGACATCCCGTCCCTGGCAGAAGCCCTAGCTCTGTTGTAGAATCAAAGAGTTGGAAGAGACCTCATGGGCCATCCAGTCCAACCCCCTGCCAAGAAGCAGGAATATTGCATTCAAATCACCCCTGACAATGGCCATCCAGCCTCTGCTTAAAAGCTTCCAAAGAAGGAGCCTCCACCACACTCCGGGGCAGAGAGTTCCACTGCTGAACGGCTCTCACAGGCAGGAAGTTCTTCCTCATGTTCAGATGGAATCTCCTCTCTTGTAGTTTGAAGCCATTGTTCCGCGTCCTAGTCTCCAAGGAAGCAGAAAACAAGCTTGCTCCCTCCTCCCTGTGGCTTCCTCTCACATATTTATAAATGGCTATCATATCTCCTCTCAGCCTTCTCTTCTTCAGGCTAAACATGCCCAGTTCCCTAAGCCGCTCCTCATAGGGCTTGTTCTCCAGACCCTTGATCATTTTAGTCGCCCTCCTCTGGACACATTCCAGCTTGTCAATATCTCTCTTGAATTGTGGTGCCCAGAATTGGACACAATATTCCAGATGTGGTCTAACCAAAGCAGAATAGAGGGGTAGCATTACTTCCTTAGATCTAGACACTATGCTCCTATTGATGCAGGCCAAAATCCCATTGGCTTTTTTTGCTGCCACATCACATTCCTGGCTCATGTTTAACTTGTTGTCCACGAGGACTCCAAGATCTTTTTCACACGTACTGCTCTCGAGCCAGGCGTCCCCCATTCTGTATCTTTGCATTTCATTTTTTTCTGCCAAAGTGGAGTATCTTGCATTTGTCACTGTTGAACTTCATTTTGTTAGTTTTGGCCCATCTTCAACCCACAAGTCCAAAGCGGATGCAACCAAGCCACAAAGGCCGGTTGTCCATGAGGAATAGAGCTGCCTGTCAAAGGGACCCTTCTTGATAAGGAAGAAAAGCAATCCCCAGGCAAACAGGCTAAGAAATGGGATTAAAAACCCAACAAGGAACGCTCAGGGAGGTGCAAAAACAAGGGGCTTCATGACAGCTACAAGAGGAGCCCAAAGAGGAGCAGGCAACCCCTGAAACGGCCAGGGCATTAAATGTTGATCAAGGTGGCCAATGGAAACATTCATACGTACCTCAAACAGAAAAGAGTTCTTTCTCCCACCCTGGGCATTCCACACATATATACAGTGTTCCCTCACTTATCGCAGGTGTTGCGTTCCAGGACCACCCGCATCAGGTGAAAATCCGCGAAATAGGGACGCTATACTAATTTTAATGTTTATACATTATTTTAGCATAATGTATAAATATTAAAATTAATATAGCATCCCTACTGTGCTGTGCCCTTGTTGTTAGCATTGCTAACAACAAGGCAGCAGGAGACGACGGGATCCCAGCTGAACTGTTTAAAATCTTAAAAGATGATGCTGTCAAGGTGATGCATGCCATATGCCAGCAAATATGGAAAACACAAGAATGGCCATCAGACTGGAAAAAATCAACTTATATCCCCATCCCAAAAAAGGGAAATGCGAAAGACTGCTCCAACTTCCGTACAGTGGCCCTTATTTCTCATGCCAGTAAGGTAATGCTCAAGATCCTGCAAGGAAGACTCCAGCAATACATGGAGCGAGAGTTGCCAGATGTTCAAGCTGGGTTTAGAAAAGGCAGAGGAACGAGAGACCAGATTGCCAATATCCGCTGGATGATGGAGAAAGGCAGGGAGTTTCAGAAAAACATCTACTTCTGCTTCATTGACTATTCTAAAGCCTTTGACTGTGTGGATCATAATAAATTGTGGCAAGTTCTTGGTGGGATGGGCATACCAAGCCACCTTGTCTCTCTCCTGAGGAATCTGTACAAGGACCAAGTAGCAACAGTAAGAATTGACCACGGAACAACAGACTGGTTCAAGATTGGGAAAGGCGTACGGCAAGGCTGCATCCTCTCACCCAACCTTTTTAACTTGTATGCAGAACACATCATGCGATGTGCGGGGCTGGATGAATGCAAAGCTGGGGTGAAAATTGCTGGAAGAAATATTAACAACCTCAGATATGCAGATGACACCACTCTGATGGCCGAAAGCGAGGAGGAGCTGAGGAGCCTTCTAATCAAGGTGAAAGAAGAAAGTGCAAAAGCTGGGTTGCAGCTAAACATAAAAAAAAACCAAGATTATGGCAACAAAAATGATTGACAACTGGGAAATAGAGGGAGAAAACGTGGAGGAAGTGACAGACTTTGTATTTCTAGGTGCAAAGATTACTGCAGATGCAGACTGTGGCCAGGAAATCAGAAGATGCGTACTTCTTGGGAGGAGAGCAATGTCCAATCTCGATAAAATAGTAAAGAGTAGAGACATCACACTGGCAACAAAGATCCGCATAGTTAAAGCAATGGTATTCCCTGTAGTAACCTACGGATGTGAGAGCTGGACCTTAGGGAAGGCTGAGCGAAGGAAGATTGATGCTTTTGAACTGTGGTGTTGGAGGAAAATTCTGAGAGTGCCTTGGACTGCGAGAAGATCCAACCAGTCCATCCTCCAGGAAATAAAGCCCGACTGCTCACTGGAGGGAAGGATACTAGAGACAAAGTTGAAGTACTTTGGCCACATCATGAGGAGACAGCAAAGCCTAGAGAAGACAATGATGCTGGGGAAAGTGGAAGGCAAAAGGAAGAGGGGCCGACCAAGGGCAAGATGGATGGATGGCATCCTTGAAGTGACTGGACTGACCTTGAAGGAGCTGGGGGTGGTGACAGCCGACAGGGAGCTCTGGCATGGACTGGTCCATGAGGTCACGAAGAGTCGGAGACGACTGAACGAATGAACAACAACAACAACTGTGCTGATTTTTTTAAACCTGCGCTTCTTTACCCATTAGGCTTGGCTGATCGTGTTCATTAGTTTCTAAACTCATTATGAATTCGTATTTAAATTAGCTTTCGATCCAATATCGAGCCATGCAGGAATAGTGTGAGGAGTAATTAAGAATTGAAACAATTTTTCCAATTTTCGTAATTATTTTCGTATGTCTGGTGCAAGTTTTACAATCTCGCAGTTTCTCTTCCCTCCCCGGTAGCAAGCTGCGCATTTACCCCAGCTTAAGCGATGAATTTCCTCTTTCTCTCTCCCTTCCTGCCAGCCACCTTTGCTCTGCTGCTTCCCTCATGCTTGGACGTGCTATGGGCTTGGGACAGTTTTTTGATAATATAATATAATATAATATAATATAATATAATATAATATAATATAATATATATAGTTGTTGTTAGTTTTATCACGCCAACAGTCAACAGCAGAGGGAGAGGGAAGCTTCAGAAGTTCCCCCTGTCCCGTTTGGAGGTTTTTTTCACGTATTGCGCAATCACGTCAGCCATTACGAAATTTTGTAAATATTGAAATTTTGAAATTTGAAATTTTGGAAATCCTCTCAGATTAGAAACGCGGGCGCCCCCTAGATACGAAACGAGTTTAGAACCAAATTTTTTCTTGATCAACCAAGCCTATTACCCATGCCTCCCACGCCTCTGGCCTCTGCACTTCCAGGGTCTTTGGAGGCCAGGGAGGGAGGCCTTCCCCACCATGCCTCTGACCACCGCTTTGCCACCACTCTGCCGGGTCTGTGGAGGCTTATTGTTAAATGGGTTGTTGTAGGTTTTTCGGGCTGTATGGCCATGTTCTAGAATCATTCTCTCCTGACATTTCACCCACATCTATTGTAAGCATCCTCAGAGGTTGTGAGGTCTGTTGGAAACTAGGAAAATAGGGTTTAGAGTGTTCCCTTGCTATTTCGCGGTTCGCTTTACGCGGACTCGCTGTATTGTGTTTTTTTAAAGACCGGCGTTGTCCGTAGACACCTCCAACGTCATGTGGCTGGCATGACTGCATGAAGCACCCTTACCTTCCCGCTGGAACAGTACCTATTGATCTACTCACATTTGCATGTTTTCAAACTACTAGGTTGGCAGAAGCTGGGGCTGACAGCGGAAGCTCACGCCGCTCCCCGGATTTGAACCGGTGACCTTTTGGTCAACAAGCTCATTGGTTTAACCCACTGCACCACTAAGATTTCTCCATAACAAGCATATAAACCAGGGGTCCTCAAACTACAGTCCGGGGGCCGAATACGGCCCTCCAAGGTCATTTACCCTTGCTCAGGGTCAACCTATGTCTGAAATGACTTGAAAGCACACAACAACAACAACAACAATCCTATCTCATCAGCCAAAAGCAGGCCCACACTTCCCAATGAAATACTAATAAATTTATATTTGTTAAAATTGTTCTTCATTTTAATTATTGTATTGTTCTAAAGTGTTTTTTTTTTTTGCACTACAAATAAGATATGTGCACTGTGCATAGGAATTCATTCATTTTTTTTCAAATTATAATCCGGCCCTCCAACAGTTCGAGGGACTGTGACCTGGCCCTCTGTTTGAGGACCCCTGATATAAACAATGGCAGTGCAGGTGTCCCAGTCCCTCCTGCCCCCAACTGCCCCAAAACATCAAACCAGAGAGAACCTGCTTCCTGCTCACCGGTAGGCCGGATATTAATGAAGGGGTAATTGGGCATCACCAGCTTATTGAAGTTGAACTTGTAGGTGAACCTCTTCCCTTTTGTCTTGTGGAGGATTCTCTTGTTGTAATAGTATCTGCCAAAAAAATGGAAAAGGAAGTGAATACACACCCTTATTTGACACAGAACATCTAAAACAGCCCACACTGAGTCTGAGAGTGATGTATGTAGACACCATCTTCCTCCTGGCCGGTCAGACCAGATATACATTCGCCTCTCCAGGACAATGGTGGAATCCCAGGGAAAAACCTTGGGTTCAATTAAGGCCTCTGCAGAAATGATTTCCTGGCTTCCTTCCTTCCTTATGCAAATCTTGGCCCTCGCTTCCTTGTTTGTTTCACTCTCTGCCGCCACAGAAGGATCAGAGGGCAACCACCTGCCAGCCACAGTTTTCCAAAAGTCAAGGAAGGTGGCCCTCGTGGCCCTGTTGGAAGAGTGGTAGGCTAAGCGACGTTGAAGAACATGACAGCTGCCCAGGGTTGTGCAACATGGGTCAGGTGAATAATGACAGCAAGCAAGCTCCTGATGTTGAGCCTGGAGGCCATGTTACAACACCTATCCTACTGGCATTGCAGATTGCCTCTTAGTAATCCAAGTACCGTACATACTCGAGTATAAGTCGAGTTTTTCAGGTCCTTTTTGAGGCTGAAAAAGCTCCCCTCGGCTTACACTTGAGTCAAAGTTATTTGTTATTTTACTCTGTTATTTTACTGACACAAAAACACAGTATGCCACAGCAAACGATATTTATATATGCTGGATTTCATATCACAAAAAGTCAAACATTTCCCAAGCATCTAGGACTGTGATGTATTTTCGAATGACGCGTGCAGATCCAGGTAAGGTGGCCTTTTGCAGTTGACAGATCATGATTTTGTCAATGTTTGCTGTTTCCAAATGCCGGCTGAGATCTTTTGGCACGGCACCCAGTGTGCCAATTACCATTGGACCCACCTATGATTATTACTCTGTTATTATTATTTTCCACTATGCATTATTATGATGACATTTACATTATTTTAATTTATCATTATTTTTATTACATGTATTATAGTACTCTATTTACTAATATTACTAGCTGTCCACTGCCACGCATTGCTGTGACTCAGTCTGTGTGGAACACATCTCACCACGCTAAAACAGTGGATGTGGCTCTTAATGAGACATGCCGCATTATCACGGGGTGTCTGCACCCTACACCACTGGAGAAATTACACTGCTTAGCCGGTATTGCACCACCTGACATCTGCCAGGAAGTAGCAAACAATAGTGAAAAGACCAAGGCAGTGACATCTCCAGCTCATCCTCTGTTTGGGTATCAGCCAACACGTCAACGACTTAAATCAAGAAATAGTTTTCTAAGATCTACAGAGACACTCACTGGAACACCTCAGCAAGCGAGAGTCCAAAAGTGGCAGGCTCAAACCCAGAACTTCAATCAATGGCTGATATCCAATGAGAGACTCCCCCCTGGGCACACAGAGGACTGGGCGACTTGGAAGGCACTGAACAGACTGCGCTCTGGCACCACGAGACACAGAGCCAACCTTAAGAAATGGAGCCACAAAGTGGAATGCGAGTGTGGAGAAGAGCAAACCACTGACCACCTGCTGCAATGTAACCTGAGCCCTGCCACATGCACGATGGAAGACCTTCTTGCAGCAACACCAGAGGCACTCCAAGTGGCCAGATACTGGTCAAAGGACATTTAATCAACTACCAAACTTTGTGTTTTGTCTGTATGTTTGTTTTGTTAAAAATGTAATACAACTGTCTGGTTGCTCCTGACATGATAAATAACTAAATAATCTGTGTATATGTATTTTGTGTGTGTATATATGTGTATATGTGTGTGTATATATTTGTGCATATGTGTATATATGTAATCTTGCACATGCATTGTAATGTATTTTTTCATTTCTGGCTTTTTAAGTCTCTTCTGCTGTGTTTTTATGAGTAATGTACACTTGCTCGCCTGATAGGTGCATTGTGTCCAAATTTGGTGTCAATTCGTCCAGTGGTTTTTGAGTTATGTTAATCCTACAAATGAACATTACATTAGATTCTTGTGGGTTTTTTCGGGCTATATGGCCATGTTCTAGAGGCATTTTTCTCCTGACGTTTGGCCTGCATCTATGGCAAGCATCCTCAGAGGTAGTGAACATTACATTTTTATTTATATAGATTATGACATTTACATTTTACTCTATTTATTATTGTAATTATTATTACATTTATTATTTTACTCCAATTTTATTGTTATTATTATTACACTTATTATTTTACTCTATTATTATTATTATGACATTTACATTATTTTACTCTATTCTTCTTTTTATTACATGTATTATTTTACTCTATTTATCATTATTATGACATTTACATTATTTTACTCTATTTTTCTTTTTATTACATATATTATTTTACTCTATTTTTCTTTTTATTACATGTATTATTTTACTCTATCATTCTTATTACATTTATTATTTTACTCTATTAATATTATTATTATTACAGTTATTATTTTACTCCATTATTATTGAAAGGATACGTAAGCACACTTTCTCAGCCTACATTGGCGACTCAACGCGGTTTACAACACTACAATAATCAACAATATTCAGTTTAAAAAGCATAAAAACACATACATAAAACACAATATTGGGCCACCAATAACAAACCAATGCATCTCTTGACTAAAATCGCAATCCAATTTCCTCGTCTGTGATTACCAATCCTTCATCATCAGATTCATTGCATCGGATTAACCGAATGCTTGTTCGAACATCCATGTCTTCAGTCTTTTTCGAAACACCATCAGCGAGGGGGCTGATCTTACCTCTATGGGGAAGGGCGTTCCACAGCCGAGGGGCCACCACAGAAAAGGCCCTGTCTCTCGTCCCCGCCAGCCGCACCTGTGAAGCAGGCGGGATAGAGAGCAGGGCCTCCCCAGAAGATCTTAGGGTCCTGGTGGGCTGATAGGCAGAGATACATTCGGATAGGTAGTTGGGCCAGAACCGTTTAGGGCTTTAAAGGCCAACGACAGCACTTTGAATTGAGCCCGGTAGCAGATCGGCAGCCAGTGGAGCTGGTACAGCAGAGGAGTTGTATGCTCCCTGCGCTCAGCTCCTGTTAGTATCATGGCTGCTGCCCGTTGGACTAATTGGAGCTTCCGAGCCGTCTTCAAAGGCAACCCCACGTAGAGAGCGTTGCAGTAGTCTAACGGGATGTAACCAGAGCGTGGACTACCGTGGCCAAGTCAGACTTCCCAAGGTACGGGCGCAGTTGGCGAACGAGTTTTAGTTGTGCAAATGCTCCCCTGGTCACCGCCGAAACCTGGGTTCCAGGCTCAGCGATGAATCCAGGATCACACTCAAGCTGCGAACCTGCGTCTTCAGGGGGAGTGCGGCCCCATCCAACACAGGCTGTAACCCTATGCCCTGTTCGGCCTTGCACTGACCAGGAGGACCTCTGTCTTGTCTGGATTCAATTTCAATTTGTTCGCCCTCATCCAGACCGTCACAGCGGCCAAGCACCGTTCAGGACCTGGACAGCCTCCTTAGTAGCAGGTGGAAAGGAGTGACAGAGTTGGACATCATCCGCGTACAGATAACACCGTTACTCCAAAACTCCGGATGATCTCCCCCAGCGGCTTCATGTAGATGTTAAACAACATGGGAGACAGTATTGAACCCTGAGGAACCCCACAAGACAAAGGTTGTGGGGTTGAACAGGAGTCTCCCAGTAACACCTTCTGAGACCGACCCTCGAGGAATGAGCAGAGCCACTGCAGAACAGTACCTCCAAGACCCATCCCCGCGAGGCGTTTTATTACATTTATTATTTCACTCTATTTATCATTATTATTACATTTATTATTTTACTCTATTATTACTGTTATTATCATCACCTGAGGGCCCGACTCAGCTTGTCGTAGTTCATTTGGGGCTTGCATTTCCGCCGGCCCCACAGCCGGGCCACTTCGTCGGGGTCTTTGATGACAAACTCCCCGTATTCGCCCTGCTGCCAGGCAATGACGTGCCGGAACTCCTCCTTCTGCAGCAGCTCCAGGATGAAGTGCCAGAGCTGGATTTGCCGGGAGCCTGGACTGGATTCAGTCTTGTAGGCCCAGTCTGGGAAGTGATAGCCTGAAGAGCCAAAGGCAACAGAAAAAAAAAATTAGATGTTGCTGAGAAACACGTTCTGAACATTCCTATAACAGAAATGCATCCCATAATAAGAACTAATGACGCAAGAGCCGTGGAAATAACCTACCCACCATCTGTTCATTTTCAGCCACAAAAATGTATCCTTGAGCACAAAGCCAAAAACCAAAAAAGTGGAGGATTGGATCAAGGTGGGAGGTGTTCTGTATGTAAGAGCCTTGCATAGACGTGACGCTTGTTGTCCCCCAAGGGGATGTGGGGGGAGGCAAGCCAAGCACCTTCCCACAACGTGGGTTGTGTGCACGGGACACACCGCGTGGGGAAATCACAGCCTTGCCTGAGACACTTCTTCCCATCTCCTGCTTCCCCTTTACATTTATTATTTTACTCTATTTATTATTATTATTTCATTTGCATTATTTTCCTCTATTATTATTTTTATTACATACTATTTTACTCTATTTATTATTATTATATTATTTTACTCTTTTCATTATTATGACATTTTCATTATTTTACTCTATTACTATTTTATTACATGTATTACTTTACTCTATTTATTATTATTATTATTATTATTATTATTATTATTATTACATTTATTAAGGAGCCCCCGGTGGCGCAGTGGGTTAAAGCACTGAGCTGCTGAACTTGCTGACTGAAATGTCGCAGGTTCAAATCCGGGAGGGGCGTGAGCTCCCGCTGTTAGCCCTAGCTTCTGCCAACCTAGCAGTTGGAAAATATGCAAATGTGAGTAGATCAATATTTATTTATTTATGGCATTTATATGCCACCCTTCTCACCCTGAAGGGGACTCAGAGTGGCTTACAAGATATATATACATACAATAGATTATACTATTAGCACGGTACAATATCAGTATTAAATAGGTACTGCTCAGGCGGGAAGGTAACAGCGCTCCATGCAGTCATGCTGGCCACATGACCTTGGACGTGTCTATGGACAACGCCGGCTCTTCGGCTTAGAAATGGAGATGAGCACCAACCCCCAGAGTCGGACACAACTGGACTTAATGTCAAGGGAAAACCTTTACCTATTACATTTATTATTTTATTCTATTTATTATTATGGCATTTACATTATTTTACTCTATTATTATTTTATTACATGTATTATTTTACTCTATTTATCATTATACTAGCCATCCCCTGCCACGCGTTACTGTGTATATATGCTTTGTGTGTGTATATATTTGTGTATATGTGTGTGTTTGCATGTGTGTGTGTGTATGTATATATATGTGTGTGTGTGTGGTTTATGTGTGTGGTTTTGCACGTGCGTTGTAATGTATTTTTTTTTGGCTTTTAAGTCTCTTCCGCTGTGTTTTTCAGTGTTTTTATGAGTGATGTTCATTTGTTGACCTGATAGGTGTATTGTGTCCAAATTTGGTGTCAGTTCGCCCAGTGGTTTTTGAGTTATGTTAATCCCACAAATGAACATTACATTTTTATTTATACCTAGCTGTCCCCTGTCACACATTGCTGTGGCCCAGTCTGTGTGTTTTGTGTGTGTATATATTTGTGTATATGTGTATGTATATATGTGGCTTTGCGCATGCGTTGTAATGTAATTTTTGGTTTTTTTGGCTTTTTAAGTATCTTCTGCTGTGCTTTTCGGTGTTTTTATGAGTGATGGTCACTCATTGGCCTGATAGGTGTATTGTGTCCAAATTTGGCGTCAATTCGTCCAGTGGTTTTTGAGTTATGTTAATCCCACAAACGAACATTGCATTTATATTTATATAGATTACATGTATTATTTTACTCTATTACATTTATATTATTTTACTCTACTATAATGAAATGTATTATTTTACTCTATTTATTATTGTTATTATTATTACATTTTTTATTATACTCTTATCTATTATTATTATTATTATTACATTTATTATTTTACTCTATTTAACAGCTAGTTCCAAGTATGTGTGTCATTGAATTATGCATGTACTATCCAGCATCCTTATCATCAAGCATACTTCCAACAATGCTCCAAATCAGTTGGCAGTTGCACTGGTGACGTCTTACCTCCGCCAGCTTCCGGCTTCTCCACAATGGGACAACCTGCCTTCATTTTTCTGGTCCTCCTGGAGAGTGACAAAAGAGAAAGCACACTTTCACCTTCATATACACGTTTGGCAGGAATCTTCCCCACTTTTCCTTTGAAGACATACAATATCTGACGATGGATTAACAAAATTAACATTTGAGTTGTCGAAGGCTTTTGTGGCCAGAATCACTGGATTGCTATGAGTTTTCCGGGCTTTATGGTCATGTTTCAGAAGCATTCTCTGACATTTCACCCACATCAATAGCAGGCATCCTCAGACGTTGTGAGGTCTGTGGGAGACTAGGCAAGTGGGGTTTATATATCTATGAAATAATGTCCAAGGTGGGAGAAAAAAACTGTCTGTTTGAAGCAAGTATGAATGCTGCAATCAATCACCTTGATTATTGATTTATTTATTTACGACATTTCTACTCCGCCTTCCTCACCCCGGAAGGGACTCAAGGCGGCATTACATACAGACTACAATTCAATGCCTTAAAACACAATGCACACTTAAATAAGTATTAAAATAGAATATAAAAGTACATAAAAACAATTAAAACATTTGAACCCAATACATTGAGAGTTAAATACATAATCCACGAGCATAATCTGGGCCATTCCAATGGTCATTGCACATTGTTCCAAGTCTATATATTGCACAAGTTCTGTAAAGGCTTGGTCATAAAGCCACAATTTCACTCTCTTCTGGAAGGTCAGGATAGAGGGAGCTGATCTATCCCTGGGGAGGGAGTTCCACAGCTGAGGGGCCACCACTGAGAAGGACCTATCTCTTGTCTACACCAACTGCGCCTGCGAGGGAAGCAGGACCAAGATCAGGGCCTTCCCAGATGATCTTAAACTCTGCAGTGGTTCATAGAGGGAGATACGTGTGGTGACGTGTGAATTTTAACCTGCAGTTATGTATAATTGTTGATTGATGTTTAAAAGGGTAAGTATTTAAAGTTGCATAACTGGGGGGAATGGTAGCCCGCTCAGTTCACTTTGAGCTGGGTTACCATGGAAATAGGGGTGGAGCCAACTGCCACTTGGCAGGGCAGCCATTTTAAAACGGCCAGTCTGTTGTCAGCGAACTACAGCAGAGGCTGGTTCTGTAGTAGTGAGAATCAGGAAGGTAGTTTGTAGTTCAAAAACTACTGTAGGAAGAATCAGGAAGGTTTTGGCTTTTAGTCTGGGTAGTTTAGATAATTCGAGTTGACTTATTTATAATAGTAGTTAGTGTATGAGTAGAAAGGGTAAGAGAAGCCCAGTGAGAATCTTTATTGCAACAGAAATATCACAAAGAAAGAATAAGCTTGTATCTGAAGTAATCTATTAAGGAAAGAAACACAGTTTGAAGAAAAATAAGTTTGAAACCTGTTTTGTGGAAGGGTCCTTTCCAGAGTTGTTTTAAGGAATGTTATAAATGTAACCTCTGAAGATAAGTGCCTCTAAGAGTTAAGAAACATTGAAACCATCAAGCTCCTTCTACATTTCAATAAATTTGTTACAGTCTCTTTTAAAGCTCGGTCTCTGTTACAAATCCTTTCCAAGTTAAGTCACGCTACACATTGAAGAAAGATCATATCAATATTACTAACTATTAGCTACACTATCAATTTAATAAGCCCTTATAAAGTAGTGGCTCCTTTACAAAACCGTTACAAACAGGTGGTGGCTTCTTCACAAATTGGTGGCATTTTTATACATCTTCACAATACGTTTGGACAGGTAAGCTGGGCCAGAACCGTTTAGGGCAGGGGTCCTCAAACTAAGGCCCAGGGGCCGAATGCGGCCCTCCAAGGTCATTTACCTGGCCCTCGCTTAGGGCCAACCTGTCTGTAATGACTTGAAAGCACACAACAACAACAACAGCAACAACAACAATCCTATCTCATCAGCCAAAAGCAGGCCCACACTTCCCATTGAAATACTAATAAGTTTATATTTGTTAAAATTGTTCATAATTTTAATTATTGTATTGTTTTAAGTGGTTTTTGCACTACAAATAAGGTATGTGCAATGTGCATAGGAATTCATTCATGTTTTTTTTCAAATTATAATCCGGCCCTCCAACAGTTTGAGAGACGGTGACCTGGCCCTCTGTTTAAAAAGTTTGTTGACCCTTGGTTTAGGGCTTTATAGGCTAAAGCCAGAACTTTGAATTTTGCTCGGTTGCAGATTGGCAGCCAGTGGAGCTGATGTAACAGGCATGCTCCCTGCATGCCACTCCGGTGAGCAATCTGGCTGCCACCTGTTGGACCATTTGTAGCTTCCGAACAGTCTTCAAAGGCAACGCCATGTAGAGTGGATTGCAGTAGTCTATTCAGGATGCAACTAAAAAGTGTTTGGGTAAGGCGAAGCAGCTGAGATGGACAGCAGTGCAGACACGGATACACCGGAACACGCAGTAGTCTATTTGGGATGTAACCAGAGCATGGGCTACTTGATTAGTGTTGAATAGCCTTGCAACTTCAAGGCTTGGCTGCTTCCTGCTTCCATTGTTGGATTCCTCCAGGAATACAACAGTTTTACCAGTTAACGTTAGTGGCAACCCACACCAGTTTCGCTGTTAACTGCATTTCTTGAAGCAAAATGTGCACAACACTTGTCTTTGAAATGCCCAATCATCCCTGTGTGGCATTTGCGCATAGTCCTCAGCCACACTGAAGTGTATGATTCATAACAGAGATGTCCTCCACTCTATGTCCTGCCCAGAAACCAAGATGACCTTCATGCCACAATAGATGGGTTGCGAGGATGGGCTGTTCCAGAGTGTGTTTTTAATTTTGAAATGGCGAAGCTACGGAAATAGGAGAAAGAAGAAGACCCGCCAGGAGCAATAGCTAGTGTCAAGGAAAGTGCTGCACCTGAGGGCACGTGATGGCATCACTACCCTCATCTCCCATACAGGTTGCCCTGTCTGCCAGGGACAGCACATCTGCTTGTGGGAACCCAGATGTCTGGCAAGGTTCACAGTGGTGCCTTCGAGTTGTCAGCCAGCCAGGCCCCGACAAAGTCTGAAAGGCAGGGAGAGTTTCCTTGCTGGCTTCCTTCCCCTCCACCACACCCATGTTTAAACAGTGAAGTCACTCGGAGACTATTTTAAGCCCAGAGAAACCCCCAGAGTCCAACCACCAGGATTGCAGATCCGCAGATTCCACCCCCACGGCTCCCAGGCTGGAGAAAGAGACAAGGATTGATAAGGGAGCAATAAAGGGATTGCACCCTGTGCTCGCCATGCTTCACTGTCCTTCATAACAGGCGGCACTCCTTGGCCAGCATAGCTCCCTCCCGTGCGCACCCTTTGCCTGCCGGCCATGAAAGGTAGGCCGCCACCCTCTTAACAATGAGAGCAAAGCTGCCAAACCAACCTCAGGAAACCACTCCACAGACTGTACGTGGAGTTGGTTAAAGTTCAACCTGATACAGAGCTGATATAATATAATATAACAATACTAATATAAAGGCATTTGACAGACTAAAAGCCAAAACCAAGGTTATAACAACATCTGTTATAGAACTCCAATATGCTGATGACAACGTCGTCTGTGCGCATTCATAGAATCAAAGGGTTGGAAGAGACCTCATTTATATTTATTTATTTATTACTGCGCTTGTATACCGCTATTTCTCAGCCTAAATCGGCGACTCAACGCGGTTTACAACACTACAAAAATCAACAATATTCAGTTTAAAAGCATAAAAAACACATATACAATACAAATTATTGGGCCACCAATAACAATCCAAATGCATCTCGTAACAATCCAAATGCATCTCATGGGCCATCCAGTCCAACCCCCTGCCAAGAGGCAGGAATATTGCATTCAAATCACCCCTGACAGATGGCCATCCAGCCTCTGTTTAAAAGCTTCCAAAGAAGGAGCCTCCACCACACTCCGGGGCAGAGAGTTCCACTGCTGAACAACTCTCACAGTCAGGAAGTTCTTCCTCGTGTTCAGATGGAATCTCCTTTCTTGTAGTTTGAAGCTATTGTTCCGCATCCTAGTCTCCAAGGAAGCAGAAAACAAGCTTGCTCCCTCCTCCCTGTGGCTTCCTCTCACATATTTATACATGGCTATCATATCTCCTCTCAGCCTTCTCTTCTTCAGGCTAAACATGCCCAGCTCCTTAAGCCACTCCTCATAGGGCTTGTTCTCCAGACCCTTGATCATTTTAGTCGCCCTCCTCTGGACACATTCCAGCTTGTCAATATCCCTCTTGAATTGTGGTGTCCAGAATTGGACACAATATTCCAGCTGTGGTCTAGCCAAAGCGGAATAGAGGTGTAGCATGACTTCCTTAGATCTAGACACTATGCTCCTATTAATGAAGGCCAATTAATGTTGGCTCATGTTTAACTTGTTGTCCATGAGGACTCCAAGATCTTTTTCACACGTACTGCTCTCAAGCCAGGCATTGTCCCCCATTCTGTATCTTTGCATTTCGTTTTTCCTGCCAAAGTGGAGTATCTTGCATTTGTCACTGTTGAACTTCATTTTGTTAGTTTTGGCCCATCTCTCCAATCTGTCAAGATCGTTTTGAATTCTGCTCCTGTCCTCTGGAGTATTGGCTATCCCTCCCAAAGCCTCTCTAAACACCTTCGCAGAAGCATACGAGAAGCTCAGCCTCTGTGTACAAACCCCCACAATCTCTTTGATCATCTGGAGAGGCCCTGCTCTCGCTCCTGCCTCCCTCGCAGGCGCAGTTGGTGGGGACGAGGGAGAGGGTCTTCTTGGTGGTGCCCCCCCCCCAACACTGGAACTCACTTCCCAGGGATATCAGACTTGCCCCAACAATGGCACTCTTTAGGAGGAGTCTGAAATTGTGGCTGTTCCAGTGTGTCTTCCCGGAATAAGGAAATAATTCCCAGCAAAATGTCTTCAGAATGCACTTTAACTATTTGTTGGATTGCGCTCCCCTCACTTCTTTTAAAATCCTCCTACCAGATATATTCTACCTTGTTCATGCCCAGCATTTATTTTTTCATTTTTAAATTATTACATTTGGCCCCACCATAGGTTTTTAAATCTT